GGCAGATGGCCTGCTCATCCTCTCACCTGGGTGCCCTCAGGACCTGCCCAGGGGCCTGGGTCTGCATCTCTTATGATTAGCCATCAGTTATAAACTTAGCCCTGCAGCTTCCTCTGCACTCAGTGACCTCTGATTCAATGCCAACTGACCCAGGGAAGCCCAGATTTAAAAAAGGATCCTTCCTCCTCTCCTTCTCAAATTCAGTCCTGGCCCAGGTGAGACCCATGGCATATTTGTCAAAAGAGGAACAATCAAGGTGAATTCATAACCACCTGTGGTCGAGCCCTGCACGGAATAAGTCTGGAAAAGACGGACCTGGGATTGTTTTGTTTTTGTTTTGTTTTTTACTTTGGGTTGAGGATTGAAATCATGGCGCTCTACACTGAACTACATCCCCAACCCTTTTTATATTTTATTTTGAGGCAAGTAGTGTCCCAGGCTGGCCTTGAATTTGCAGTCCCCTGCCTCAGCCTCCCCAGTCCCTGAGACGACAGACTTGGGCCAACACGCCCAGCATGTGCTTGTTCCCAGAAGCATCTACCAAATGTTCCAAGGCCAGCTGTGACCAGTGTGTCCTGGGAGGAGAACTGCAACACTCCCACTTCACTGATGTGGCACTGGGCCAAGTCCCAGCCTTGTTCCCATGTTCATGGTGGTGTCCTGGTGCCATTTGTCCCCTGCATTTGTTTCTATAAATGGCTCCCCTGGGTGCCAATCTTTCCAGGGCAGGCCAGCAGGAATCAGTTGTTAAGAAAGGGAGACACAGGTCCCCAGTTTCTCCCTGAGCCCTGGTGCTGAGGAAAGCTATGACCTCAGCCCTGGAGCAGCTCCTGGGCTTCAGGTCCTCACCGTCTGGTGGACAGCTGTGCTTGCCTACTCGGGAGGGTAGGGACACCAACAGGGATAAGCACAGCACCCAGAGAGCTTTATTGGAGGATTCAGAAATGCATCATGGTCCTGATAACAGATGTAGCCCAGTGACAGTGCAGACGTTCAGCATGCACCTGAGGATGACCCCAGGACAGCAAATAATAATAACAACAAAGCAACGTCTAGGAAGGGTCTTCACAGTGTCACTCGCTGTGGTCAGAGGTGGCCTCCTGATCACCTGACTTGTCAATCCCCTTCACAGCCAGACCTTCTCCCCCGAGGGTATCAGGTCCTGTGACGAGGGCCATACATGGGCAGACAGTGAGCTTCACCTGCCAGTCCCACGGCTCCTCCCCCCAACAACATCACTCTCAAGTGGTTCAAAAATGGGAAGGAGCTCTCACACACCCAGACCAGCGTGGACCCCAGGGGAGAAAGTGTGTCCTACAGTGTATCCAGCACAGCCCTGGTGACCCTGGCCCCGAGGGACATCCACTCTCAGATCATCTGTGTGGTGGGCCACGTCACCCTACAGGGGAGCCTTCTTCGTGGGACTGCCAACTTGTCTGACACCATCCGAGGTACAGGACCCTGCTCCCCACCTCAGCCCACACTGGCCACCCAGCCTGCTGCTCCCCAGGGGCCTTTGCTCCAGGACCTCAGTGGCCTGGGCTCTAATTCCCAGCAGTGCTGTCACCTGCCATCACATGTGGACTCCTGTCCTGTGGCCAGCATGTGCTGGTGGCTTCATTTCATTGACCAGCAGCAACTAATACAACTGAGCTCCTCCCAGAGCCGAGCCTTGACGTGCAGGGAGGTTTCATCTATTGTACTCACTTCCTGCAGGCCAGGAGCTGGGCTTGTCAACCTCACTCACTTTTACCCTTAGGAGTCACTTGCCACTGTGGGTGGCAGGCCCTGTGGTTAGTGATTCACTCCTGTACAAACCCCCAGTGTCTGAGCCCCTCTGCATGCCTGGCCCTGTCCCGAGGGAGGCCCCTGCCCTGCTGGGAGGAGCTCAGCATCTGTGCCATAAGGTCACAGCTTCTCCCTGTGCTGTTTCAGTTACGCCCACCGTGGAGGTCACCCCACTGCCCACCATGGCAGGGAACCAGGTGAACGTCACCTGCCAGGTGAAGCACTTCTACCCCCAGAGCCTACAGCTGACCTGGGTGGAGAATGGAAATGTGTCCAGGACAGAAACAGGCTCAACCCGCTCAGAGAACAAGGATGGGACCTTCAACCTGACGAGCTGGCTGCTGGTCAACTCCTCTGTGCACAGGGAGGATGTGACGTTCACCTGTCAGGTGGAGCATGACGGGCAGCCAGCCACCACCAGGAACTACACCCTGAAGGTCTCTGCTGATCCCAGGGAGCAAGGCCTGGACAACACCCCTGGTGAGCCCTCTCCCAGCTGGCCAAATGCTTTAAACTTCATCTTGACTCTGTGTGTTGTGATGTGAGAGCAGTGACCCCTCCTTCCCACAGGGCACCCAGAGCCTGGGAACACAGCAGTGTCTTAGTCAGCTCCCCACACCCACACTCTGAGGGTCTCCTCTGTAGGGTTGGGCACACATCTCATGAGGCCTTCAACAGGGACACTAAGGAGGAAGGGGGGGATGGGCCTGTCCTGGCAGCCGCCTCTTGCCTTCTTCACCTGACACTTGTCAATTCTAATTGTCCTCCCCCTCTACCTGTCTTTCTTTCCACTGTGGAGGTCACCAAAAAATACACAGTGACACAGAACCAGGTGACTATCACCTGCCAGGCAAAGAAGTTCTATCCCCAGAGCTTGCATGTGACCTGGTTAGAGAATGGAAATGTGTCCACACTTCAGCTATCCCATAGAACAAGGATGGGACCTGTGACCACATGAGTGGGTTCCTGGAGAACTCATGTGCCCAGAGCGGTGACATGGTACTCACCTGCCAGGTGGTACATGACAGGCAGCCAGCCACCTCCAGAAGCCATAGGCTAAATGTCAAGGTCCCCAGAAAAAGCAGGGTACAGACACCTCCTGGCCAGGTGAGGTGTCTAATCCTAGCAGCTCAAGAGGCTGAGGCAAGAGGATCACAAGTTCCAAGTCGGCCTCAGCAAATTAGCAAGGTCCTAAGGAACTCAGCAAGACCCTGTCTCTAAATTAAATATTAAAAGGGCTGTAGATGTGGTTCAGTGATTAAATACCCCTGGGTTCAATCTCTGGTACCCAAAACAAAAAAGATGTCTCCCTGGTGGAGTCTCCACTCCAGTCAGCTGGGTCTTTTTTATCTCTCTCTCTCTCTCTCTCTCTCTCTCTCTCTCTCTCTCTCTCAAGGTAGTATTCCTAATCATTATAGAATAATTCAAAAGTTTATAAATATAGATTAAGTCCCCTGAAATCACCCCAAGAGTCTCCACTGTGAAGACCTGGGTCCATCTCTCCATGGATCTTTCAACAGACATTAAAGAAGAAGGAGAGGGAGGGGAACCGTCCTGTCTTACTGTCCTGCCTCTTGTCTCTCCACCCACCTACTTCTCTGTTCTCCTTCCTCAGGGCCTCTCCCTCCTCCTTACCCTGTGGACCTCTGTCCAGCCTCCATTCCATATTGGAATTTTCCATACACCTCACACTTAGCTTCTCATCGTCTTTCCCCAAAGGACTGATGTGCAGAACCATCCCTCCAAAGCCAGAGCCTAATAACAGCCATTTCCCAATTGAAGTTCAAGCACCAGATGCCAAGAATTCTCTTCCTGAGGTTAAACAAGTTCACTTCTGGTGGAAGTGTGAACAAGGGCACCTCAACACAGGCCAGTGCCTTCCCAGGTGCCACTGACCCCCAGCACTGGGGTCATGTCACCAGCCAGCTGATGAGTCTCAGGTTCAAACTCACATTATAGAATCCAGTTCCCAGACTCTACTATGAGCTGGGTTTCCATAGGAAGTGCCCTCTGTGATGGGCATAGGGGATGAGGGAGCTTTCTGGAATGTTCTCAGGATCAACATCAGGGTGTCTCCCACCTGAGGAGAGAAGAAGCAGCAGCTCAGCTGCCCCCACAGAAGCCAGAGGAGCCCCAGAGCTGCTTTCAGGGGAGGAGAGGGGCGGGGTCTTCCACTCCCTGCTCAGGCAGGCTCTGATGCTGGTGCCTTCTAGAGGGAGGAGGGGGCAGGCAGTGCAGCTCTCCTCCACTGAGGGGGAGTCAAGAGCACCACTCAGCCTGGAACACAGGCTGTTGTTGCAGGGCACCAGGGTGAAGTGTCCTCTCCTTCTTAAGGACAAGGAAGCATTTCTTTCTTTATTAAAAAAAATTTCTATCTTTGTTAGCATCATCTTAAAAGCAAAAATGACTAATGGTAAAAATGCAAAGACCCCACAGGTCTGCTTGCCAGGATCTGGCTTTGTGTGTCCAACAGAAAGACTTCAGGTGACATAGCACTGGAGGGGAGGTCTGCTATTTGGAGACTAAGGCCCCTCCCAAGTATGAGAACCTTTTCCTTGATTCACCAGACTGTTTCCCAGCCAGTGATTTCGTTATTGCAGACTGCACCTCCTTAGCAGGCTCCTTAGAATGCTCTCCTGAGACACAGTGTCACTGAGCTCACCCACGGTACTAAGCGGGCAGGCTTGCTCTCCTCTCTCACCATGGAACGGCTCCCATCCCGTGCACATGTTCATTGAAAATTGTTCTCATGGCCCAGAGACACTGGATCACTCTCTGGGTCTAAAGAACTTGAATTCAGGAATCACCATATAAGGCTAAAGGGGAGGGGGGACTTCTCTGGTTTGGATTCCAGTAAATGGTGACCCTCCATAAACTCGCCAGGAATCCATTTCCTTACAGGAGGAGATGATAATCCCTCTGCGCAGGATGGTGAGGCTCATGGAGGGAACCAGCATGGCTGGGTGGGCAGTGTGCACGGAGCACACATTTTCACCTTTGCTCAGGTAGCACACCCTGGGACCTGAGACTGGGCGAGTGGAAATGAGGAATCTCTTGACTCTGGCAGCCAGGACAGCGTGTGTGTGCTCAAGTTTCACAACTCTGTTGCGACCCCACAGCCTCACCTGGGGCAAGTGCAGTTTTCTGGGAAGAGACATCTAGGAGTCCCTCTAAGAGCCCCTCTTGTCCCTTGATTTTCAGGAGCAGTGATGTTTACACTAGTTTCACACCTCATCGCCCTGTTATTTGGCCTCAAGATCCTGTTAGCTGTCAGTGTCTCTGCCGTCTATGTCCACAGGAAGCAGAAGTCCTGACTGTAAGTCCCCAGGAGGGAGGGTGCACCACAGGCTGCTGCAGAGGGCAGGGCCAGGGGGAGTGCCAGCCCACCTGTGCCCAGCTGCAGAGTCAGTGGGTCTAGAGAACCAGGCACACACCCCTCAGCACCCTCAGGACTCAGGCAACTTCTGTGGGGTCTCAGGTAGTCTGTGGGGTGTGCAGGAGATGAGGAGGTGAAGGGTTGGCATTGGGTGTCCACTGAATCCTAAGGCTCCAGAGAATATAGGCTGAGGGGGGTGCAATGAGGGGCATCAGACTGGGTGTGAGCCTTGGAGGCCACCTCTAGATTAGTCCACCACTAGGCCTCCAGGGGCAGGAAACAATGTTCAGAAGACCTAGGTGGGCTGCTCTCAGGGTGCTTACTTCTGACCCTCATTGTGGCCCACTGCAGGGAGAGGGAAGGGGATAAGGACACAGGAGAGACTCAGAGTCCTAACCTGGGGCTGTTGGTTCACTCACCACAAGCATCCCAGGACGGCCACACCAGGACCTCCTAGCTCTAAGGAGACTCTCACGAATCGTGAGCAGATAACTGAATGTGGACATGTTTCCCACAGATCCTTCATCACTCCCTGCTACCTGGGACCCTCCGTCTCTGCCACCTTCTTCCTGCTCCATGGTGCTCAGCCTGAGAGAAGGAGCTGCCCAGAAACCTCAGTAGACTCTGCTCCACATGCCTCCCCCAAGGACACCAGCCCACAGGCCCCTGTTGCTCCTCTGCCCAGTCCTTGATGTTCCATGGCTGAGTCTGCACTCATCATCCTGAGCTGGGCCATGGGACCTGCCTCTGGGCAGAACTCATGACACTTCCCAGAATGTGACAAGCAAGCCCCACCTGACCACGTCAGGATGCCTCTCCTCCATTGCCTTGGGCTTGGCCATCAAACACCCACAAGTCCTCGCTCTCAAGAGTCATTCAGCCATCTTTTTCCTGCCTACCCCTCCTCCCCAGCCTTGTTGAGGTTCTCACATGAAACTCATTCTGGTTTAATAAGGAAAATTTATTCTCTTTCCTCTTTACAAAAGTTTCCTCAAACCCAGAAAAAAAAAAAAAAAGTTCTTCTTAATCCGATTGATTTTCTCCCTCAGCACTTATGAACAACACTATTGTCCTGGATAAAGGCAGTCACCACTCTCCATGAAGAGCAGGATTGTAAAAAGGACCATGGAAACTGAAACCCTGGGAAGCCATCTCCACAGTGGTCATGAAAGATAATGATTTTCTTCCACCTTTGCAGGATTTGTCAAAATTTTTTTAAAACCTAAAATATCAGTCAATTTTCATCTTAACCGTACAGGGAAATGAAAACAATAATAAAATGAGTGCTTAGTGCACAGTGATTTGAAACATTGAACACTGAGCATTAGAGTTTTATTGCTTTGTAAAAACTTATCCAGGGAGTTTCCACCATGTCAGCCTGGTTCTCTTTAATTGAAGATGTGAAGCAAGCTTTTGGGCACCACCATCCTTTTGGGCACCACCACTCCCCTCATGTAGGTGGGTAACATCACCTTCACTGGGTTCCTCTGTCTGCCAAAGGCAAGTCCCCATGTGGGAAATGAGTCCACACACCAAGGACAGCTACTTCTACGCTGATTCCGCCTGTGTCCAGTTTAATCTCACTTCCAGCATTTCCACGTGTCCTGTCCTCACTGCACTTGCATCTCTGTTGCTTATTCTTTAAATATAGACTGTACCCAAGAGGGATTGAGAGTAGACACCAGGAAATCCTTAGAAGCAAATGAGAACAGAGACACAGCACATCTAACTCTCTGGGACACTATGAAAGTAGTTCTGAGAGTAAAATCTACAGCTCTGAGTGCCTACCTTAAAAAAATAAAGAGACTCAAATAAATCAGCTTATGCTGTACCTCATATCCTCATAAAAAGAATAACTAATCCCAAAAAACAGGAGGAGATAGGAAATATTAGAATAATATTGGAGCCAAAATTAATGAAACTGAAAATGAAAAACAAAGAACAAATTCATCCACGGAACAAATCAGAAAAACCACCCATTCACAAGACTTCAAGAAAAAGAAAGAAAGAAAGAAAAAGGGTCATGAGAACTAATCTAGCCAATGAGGTAAAAGAGCTCTACCATGAAAATTACAGAACACTGAAGAAGGAAATTGAAGAAAACCTTAGAAGATAGAAAGACATCCCATGTTCTTTCCTAGGCAGAACTGATGTCTCAAAATGGTTGTACTACCAAAAGTAATGTGCAGATTCAGTGGAATCCCCATCAAAATGCCAATATCATTCTTCACAGAATTGGAAAAAAAAGTCTTAAATGCATTTGGAAGAATAAGTCTCAGAATATCCAAAGCACTACAGAGCAAGAAAAATGATGCTGGGGGCATCAGAGTGCCTGACTTTAAATTATACTACAGAGCTGCAGTAACAAAAACAGCATGGCATTGGCACAAAATAGACATGAAGACCAATGGAAAAGAATACAAGGCACAGAGACAAACCCACATGCTCACAGCCATCTGCTATTTGACAAAATACATTTCGTAAAAAAAAACCCTCTTTACCAAATGGTGCTGGGAAAACTGGATAGCTGCCTATATGTAGGAAAATGAAACCAGATCCATACCTGTCACCTTGTATAAAAGTCACATAAAAATGAATCAAAGACACAGGAATTAGTCCAGAAAGCTTACAACCACTAGGGAAAAAAAAAAAAAAAACACATAGGGCCAACATTCCATGATGTAGATCCTGGTGACAACTTCCTTAACAAAACCCCCCAAAGTGCAAGAAAGAAAACCAAGAATCAATAAGGAGGGATTCCATCAGTTAAAATCTTGTGCACAGCAAAGGAAATGATGAAGGGAACGAAGAAAGATTGTACAGAATGGGAGAGAATCTTTGCCAGCCACTTCCCCAACAGGAGATTAATATTCAGAATATGTAAAGACCTCAAATACATTCAATCTAAATCACAATAAAAATAGTAGCGCAATCAACAAATGGTCCAAAAAATCAAACAGAAACATTAAAAGAAACACAAATGGCCAATGTGTATATGAAAAAATGTTGAACAATGCTTGTCGTCAGGGAAATGTAAGTCAATTCTACACTAAGGTATCATCTCACTGCAGTCAGGTGGCGAATGCCAAGAGTACAAATAATAATAAGTGTTGGCGAGGATGTCAGTAAAGTGTAACTCACACAGTGGTGAAGGCCACCACTCAGGAAAGCAGCATGGAGAGTCCTCAAATAACTAGGAAGGGAACCACCACGTGACCCCGCCATCCCACTCCTTGGTGTTTTTCAAAAAGATCTAAAATCAGCTCAGTGCAGGAGTGCAGCCACCTAAATGTTTATAGCAGCACAGTTCACAACAGCTAAACTAAGGAATCAACCAGGCTCCTGCCAACAGATGAGCGGATTAAGACACTCTGGTTTTTATACACAGAGGAATTATCCTCAGTGAAATTAGGGCATTTGCTGGTAAAATGGACGGAAATGGAGAACATCATGTTAAGTGAGACAGGTCGGACTCAGAAAATCAGACTTGGGAAGTTTCCTCTCATCTGTGGAAGCTAGAGTTAAATAAGGGAAAGAAGGAGAAAAGATAGGATAAAGTACAGGAAAGGTCAGGGTTATACAAGGAGATCAAGAGTCAGAGGGGAGGGACAGAGAAAGGGAGGAAATGTGGAATGAGCCATTAAAAATCATGATAAGTGCAAGTATAAATATCCCACAGGGAATTTCATCTGTATATATAAATTTTAAAAACAATCAAAAATAAAATGAAGAGATGAGCAAAAGAAAGTCTAGTAGAAATCAAGAAGGAGGAGGCAAGTGGTGTGAGGACGGGAGGGAAAAGGGGACCCGGAACCAATACCAAACTCCATGCATGTATGGTTTTGTCAGGATGAACCAACTATTACAGGTAACTATAATCTTTTAAAGAGAAAAATCCGTGGCCGTTGCAGGAAATAACCAGTCCCTCCTTCACACTGAGTAGGCCCCAGGCCCCTCCTCCTCCCTCTGCTGAGTAGCACTTAGTGAGGCTGCTGCAGAGTGAGACCACCAGCCAGTCACACCAGGGTCTCAGGGTCAGGATTCTGGGGCTCACCTTTCTTGTCCTGGGACTCCCAAATTGACCATCACTAACGCCCAACTAACCATGAAGGGTCATATGGAGCCAGCCCAGGCCCCAGGGGAAGGAGTCTTGTCTTGTTCCTCGAGGTCTGTCCAGTTCCTTCTAAACATGCAGCATGAGAGACCCTTAACCTTTGCTGTCTGTGCTCCTGGTTTCTACTTCACAATTTTGGAGGAAATTGCTTGTCACTCTGCCACAGTCACTTCCTCTTGCAACAAGGGAGGCAGGTGTCAGTTCTCTCCATAGAGCAGAGTCAGGGATCTCCCCAGGACAGACACTGGGACAGAGCAGGCTCCTCAGGGCTCCACATGTCTGCACCTGCCTCCCGGCCCCAGTGTCCCTGTCCTGTCCTGCTGCTGACCCTCCTGCTGGGACTCACAGGTGAGTGAGCTCTGTCTGGGGAGAGTCCTCTGTCCGGGCCCCTGGGTCAGCTCTGCCCTTGGACTCCCAGGGACTCAGGACAAACACAAACTCTGCCACCAATGGCAAGGACAGGGCATTATCTGGAGCCCAGACCAAGGGTCCTGAGCTCTGTCTCTGGGAGGCCTCCCCTGCAGCTGGGGCCAGAGGCATCACATCAGCTGATGCTGCAAACAGCAGTGACAAGAATCACTTGTATATTATAATACTTCAGCTCACAGAGCATCTCTCCAGAGGATCAATGTTTAAGTCCTCATAACTCCTGAACCCCCAAGACCTCAAGGCCATGCAGGGAGTGATCTCTCTCTCTCTCTCTCTCTCTCTCTCTCTCTCTCTCTCTCTCTCT